TATTACCCTCCTCTAATTCTGTAGAAATCAATTCCCACATCAGTTGTTACATTATTTTTCCTAGGACTGATGTCAGCCTGACAGGCCTATAATTACCCAGGTCATCCCATTTACCCTTTTAAAATATTGGCACAAAATTAGTTTCCTTCCAGTCCTTTGGAACTTCTCCACTGTTCCAAGCTTTTTAAAAAAAAAAAAAAAATCTGATGTGCTGATTTTAAAATGTCTAACTTTAATATCTGCTGTTTAGCATTCTCCTCTAAGTTATTGTTAGAGTGGACAGTATTTTAGCATCATCATCATCATCAGATGATATGAATATATCATCAACTTTTTCCCAAATATGGAACAAAAATATTTATTGAACACTTCTGCCTTTTCTGTATTATTATTGACAGCTATTTTCATATAGCAGTGGACTAATAACATTGATAGAATTGCTTTTCTTCCTTGTAATCTTTAAAAACTCCTTATTGTCCTTAACTATTCTGATCATAGTTCTCCCTATGTCCTTTTGCTTCCCTTATCAATTATAAACAATTCCTAGCTTCTAACATATTAATTTCTATCACCCTCCCCTTTTCCCCATTTGTGGTGTGAGTATGTATGTATGTGCATATTTCAGTTTTCAAAAATACTCTCACTTCCCTGCTAAGCCAGGCTGTTCCTTTTTAACCAGTGTAGCCTTCTTTCTCGATTTTTGGGATTGTGACTCTTTGGCCATCCAGTAAAATGTTCCTAACCAGTTTCCCATTGTAACTGATGTTTTTCTGTTTAAATTATTGTTACCAGCTGATATGGCTCATAACCATTTTCAGCTTTGTGAAACTGGCCCTGTTAAAGCACCAAGGAGAGAGAGTGATAACTATAACTTGTTTGGACTTTATTCTGTTTGTAACCACTAATTGTTAGTGCTGGGATGACGAGGAATTTATCTGTCAAGATGAGGTCTCAGCTAGAATTCCCGCATGTTGGTTGCAACAGTTTTGAGTGAGTAAATTATCGTGTATAAATGAGAAATTCTAATGACATTTTAGTACTGGTAGGCTGCAGTTCGCATGCTATGTCAGTCAGATTAAAGTTCGTCATGATCACACAGCTTTCTTCCCTACATGTTATAGAAAGATGCTTGAGGAGCCATTCATCCTGTTCTTTAAGTGTGATTTGGTAGTCTGTAGCAGACACCAACTAGTACCTCATGTTGTGCTTTATCTGTTAGTACACTGATCTGTAAGCATTCAAGTTGGTGACTCAGAAACAGGTAATGCCATTTGTGACATAGGGTGCCACGCCCCCTCTGCTTCTGCCTATTCAGTCTTTCCTAAATAGATTATAACCATTGATTTTAACACTCTGCTCACGTGAATCATCCCACCAGTTTCAGTAACACCATCTAGATCGAATTTGTGCTCATAAATGAGTAATTTCAGTTTCTCGTTTTTTTATCGAGGCCCCTAGCATAGGTATGTAGGCAATTCAATAATTTTCTTTTCATGTTTCTTGGTGTCTTGATTAATTTTGTTCTCAACTTCTTAATTTTTTGCTGAGTGCTCATTTGTTCCCTCTTTTCACACTCCTCTGTTGGTATTAGTTTACTGCCTTTCTGAATACTCTGTCCAGCCTGTGCCCTTGCAGCTATATTCTTCTGCTGAGATGCAGCCATTCAACCTGTACAGCCCCTTCACCCCACAGAAGGTAGTACAATGTTCCACAAACCCAAAACCCTACGCCACTTACCTATCCAGTGCTTCACTTCCAGAATCTTCTGCTTTCTGTCTTGCTTGGCTTGTGGGCCAGGAAATATTTCTGAGAAGATCATTTGGACGTTCTTCTCCTTCAGCGCTCTTCCAGGTTCTCTGAAGTTGACTGTAATTTCTCCAGTTCAAGTTAAAAAAAAAATTTGTGACAATTTTATTTGCCTTCTGTTTTCTGAGCCCAGGGGGTAGGGAAGATATGTATGCGTGAAGCTGCCTGTTGTGTGTATCACACTGCATCTACAAAACTCCACCTCCAACAGTGCACATGGAAAAGTGTGGGCCCCCCCAGCTGCTGGGATTTACCCTTCTGACTTCTCCATCCTCCTGCTTAATCACGACTCTGTTTCCTCTTTACCCCAGCCAGTCTTCTCCCCCACACTCTCCTTTTCTCTCCTGCCTTATATTCACCTGCCTTTCCCTTTACAATTTCTAACCTCTCACAGCTACTGCCCCACATGCCCCTGCACTGTCTATTCTCCTGCACCTGCTCAGCCTCCTGCTGGCTGAATCCCCCTTCAACCTCTCTTTGTCCCCCACACATGTTCCTGGACCCCCCCAGAGTCCCTATAGCTCCCCATATTTCCACTTTTCCTCTGAATTCCATCTTTATTAGGGGCAGCCTCACTTCCACATGCCAAATCTGTAGGGAAACAGTTGCCATCTTGATTAAGGGCCATTTGACTTCATCTGCAACTAAATATCATGAGACTCCATTATAAAAATCACCAGAGTCAGCAGCTCTGGGCATTGCATTTTCACAGTAGAAATTGTGTGTGGTTTTTAATGAAAGCTCTGGGAAATTTCCCAGCTCCCCAGGGAAGTTCCCTGCTCTCGGTGGGGAGGGGTAATTTCCAGCCCTGCCTGTGACTGGTTAGGGCTCTGATCTCAGCAGGGCTAGGAGAGGGGATAAGAGGTTGAAGACCTGTGCTGTGTCTGGGTCATAACATCCCTTGGTATGTGAAGGACCCTGAATCTCCTGCCGGGGGGAACCTCAAGTCTCCAAGGAACCATCTGTCCTCCTCAAAGTGTCTCCAGAAACAGTTTCCAATCACTTTGGTTTATAGACGTGATGGAATACACTCCTGTATTCATATCCTATACCCCACTGGAATACTTTTTGTACAAAGTATGACTTTTGAGGTATCTCTTGAAAATTCATAATTTGGTGGTCAGTGTTGTCCTGATAAAATATGTGGCAACACTGTATGTAAAATTAAGATTTTCCTGTAGGATGTTGTTAACACATGTTCCAAACCAGGGGTGGCCAACCTGTGGCTCCAGAGCCACATGCGGCTCCTTGTATAGGCACTGACTCCGGGGCTGGAACTACAGGCGCCAACTTTCCAATGTGCTGGGGGGTGCTCACTGCTCAATCCCTGGCTCTGCCACAGGCCCTGCCCCCACTCCACCCTTTCCCACGCCCTTGCTCCTCCCTTCCCCCCCCCAGAGCCTCCTGCATGCCACGAAACAGCTGATCAGGACGTGGCGGAGGGAGCGGGAGGTGCTGACCATGGGGCTGCCGGTGGGTGGGAGGCGCTGGGAGAGGGGGGAGCTGATGGGGGGCTGCTGACATATTACTGTGGCTCTTTGGCAATGTACATTGGTAAATTCTGGCTCCTTCTCAGGCTCAGGTTGGCCACCCCTGTTCCAAACCATAGCAGAAGTTGGCAAACCGGTCTGTCCTAAACAAAGGAATGTGTGCTCTGCTTCATGAGCATTTATGCAATAACTAGAGTCATCGAGCAGGAAGGGAGACAAAGGGAGTGCAAGCAGGTGAGAAAAAAGCAACAGAGAAAATCCTTCCACACAGACTCTTTGTCTCCTGGTTCTCAGCTGGAAATGCTTCTCAAAGGGGAAACAGGACTATAAAAAAGAGGGGCAGACACCCCAAGAGGCCCCCTTTGCACCTGAACAAACAAAGAAAATAGCTGTTGGATTATGGGGGATGGGTCCTGACCCGAAGGTTGGTCAGTAACACTGCTGGAATCATGTGGTGAGAAACTTTGCTTCAGATCTTGTTAAATGTGAGAAAGCATCTTCTCTTTATTTTTCTTGTAGTCATTTCTCACTTTTATGCTTCACTACTTGTATTCACTTAAAACCTATCTCTTTGTAGTTAATAAACTTGTTTTACTGTTTTATCCAATCTAGTGTGTTTAAATTGGAGTGTCTTTATTTAAAGTAATAAGCAGTCATTATTCCTTTAAGGAATTAAGGACTTATTTTATTTGTATTGTCCAGGAGAGGGCTGGGTAGTACAGGCCATACATTTCTGGGGGGAAATCTAAGATTGGGGGTGCATGTGGGTCACACTGAAGTATAACCAAGGCTGGTGAGAGTCAGAGTGTAACCCAAGTGTGCCTGTTAGGCTGCAGTTATACACATATACACACACTCTCTCTCACACACTGAGTGTATGGTTTGCATGCTGGTAGGCTGTTTGTGTATGGTCCTGGTGGGTGCTAGTTCAGCAAGGCGTCGTAAGGCACCCAAGGTTACAGGGCAGGGGTGACAGAGCTGCTCATTAGTCTGGATTGTACCCTTGCTATGTCACACCCACCCAGCTAGCACATCTGGAAACAACTGTATCTTAGAATAAATGTAAAATCTTGGTCTCACATGTTTTCTTTGCCTGGAACAGGATTTCCCATTCCCATACTTGTGATCTCCCAGGGAAGAGACATGGGTCCAAGATCTCCAGGACTCTGAGGAAAGGGAGATCCTGAGAAACAGCCACACAGGTGAGGAATTGGTTAAACAGACACAGAAGCCGTGTGCCATTGATGTGGTATATCTTGACTGTAGTAAGACTTTTAATACGGTCTCACATGACCTTCTCATAAAGAAACTAGGGAAATACAACCTATATGGAGCTACTATAAGGTGGGTGCAAAACTGGTTGGAAAGCCATTCAGAGAGTAGTTATCAGATGTTCACAGTCAAGCTGGAAGGACATATTGAGTGGGGTTCCACAGGGATCAGTTCTGGGTCTGGTTCCATTCAATACCTTCATCAAAGATTTAGATAATGGCATAGAGGGTACACTTATAAAGTTTGTGGACAATACCAAGCTGGGAGGGGTTGCAAAGTGCCTTGGAGGATAAGATTAAGATTCAAAGTGATCTGCGATGTATTAGCAGGAGTGTTGTAAGCAAGAAACAAGAAGTAATTCTTTCGCTCTACTCCACGCTGATTAGGCCTCAACTGGAGTATTGTGCCCAGCTCTGTGCACCACATTTCAAAAAAGATGTGGCGAAATTGGAGAATGCTGAGAGAAAAGCAACAAAAAACATTAAAGTTCTAGAAAACATGACCTATGAGGGAAGATTTGGGATAAAAATAGGGTTTGTTTAGTCTGGAGAAAAGAAGACTGAGGGAACATAACAGTTTTCAAGTACAGAAAAGGTTGTTACTAGGAGGAGGGAGAAAAATTGTTCTGTCTAACCTCTGAGGATAGGACACGAAGCAATGGGCTTAAATTGCAGCAAGGGATGTTTAGGTTGGACATTAGGAAAAACTTCCTAACTTTCAGGGTAGTTAAGCACTAGAATAAATTGCCTAGGGAGGTTGTGGACTCTCCATCATTGTCTAACCTGCTCTTAAAAATCTCCAAACACCTGTCAGGGATGGTCTAGATCAGAGGTTATCAAACTGTGGTTCGCGAGCTCCATTCAGGTGGTCTGCGGATAGTCCCTCTAAGGTGCACACCTGGGTGGCTGCACACAAGAGAATGAAGGGCCACCCACCTAATTAGTGGAGCCACAAAGGTGTGGCTCTAGTAATTAAGTGCCTGGACCCTGGAGAAGATGCACATGTAAGGTGAGGTGGTGGCCTTGGGGAGAATAGTGGGTAGGTGGGACGGGGCAGTGGGGTGAGAAGAGGGAGTGGGGAGAATTTGGATCGTGCAGGGCTGCAGCGGCTAGAGAAAGAGGCAACTTTCCCCAGCTCCAGGGCTGCAGCTGCCAGGGAGAGATGGCCCTCCTTGTGTGTAAACAGCTGAGATTCTCACAAAAGCCCTGTGAGCATCTCTAGGTCTCTGTCCCCAGGTCAGGATTGTCCCCAGCCGGTGGTGTATACACATGGCAGATGTCGCTCGTGACTTCCCACCCACCCTCACTGACCCCAGGGAGCAGTTCCCTGCCTTTGAATGTTTGGATGGGATCTGGGAGCAGAATTGGTCTCCCCCTCCCCCCACATTCTGGGAAATGTTTTGGGAAGGATTTAGATCCTGCTTTTTCAATTATCCCAACAGATACTTTAATTTGTTCCCCCTCCCCCCTTTCCTGTTCCACTTTGAGATTCCCATTTGTAACGGGCTCGGGTGGTCGGGCACCCGAGCCTGAGAGATTGCCAGGCTCTCAGTCCCCTACTGGGCTGTGTACTTTGTCTTTAAGGCCAGGGGAGTGGTAAGGGGCACCCAGGCCCTCCCTCACCACAGGGTCCAGTGCATGGCCCAGTGTATATCAACCCCTGAACAGGGTGGGGTTGGTGTCCCTCCCAGCAGGGAGTCAGAACCCACTGCCCTGGGCTACTTCCTACAAGTCCATTCAGCTGGGGGCATGGCCCCTCTAGTACAATCTGCCAGTGGCTTGCTGCCCATAGGTTCCCTCTTGGGTCTAGGGAAATGCCTTGATGTGGTCCAAGGTCCTTCCGGCAAGGTGAGGATGAGCCCAAAATGTCTCTGGGGTCCGCTCATTCTGTTACCTCTGGTGCTGGGGGTTCATTTGCGGTCTCCCCTTGGTTGGGGAGCCAGTGCTGGCTTCCAGGTAGCTGCCCTGGCTGGCAGGTCACTGCTCCATCCCTTCAGCCCTGAGCAGAACCAGGGTCCCTTCTTTTATCCTCCCTCCAGTCCTGGCATTGTTTGCAGGTATAGCAGGATGGGGCTAGCTTAACTCAAACACTTTCTTTAACCCTTGCTGAGGCAGCTGGGAGTTTCTCTGCTTCATTGCGCTCTTCTTCCAGTGCAGGGACTGACTCCTGTCTGAATTGTCTCTCTGTCACATCAGGTGATGGGATGGTGAGTGAGAACAAGGAGGAGCATCCTCAGCAGGGAGGTCCTGGTCAAATGGAAGCACAGAGAACATTATCGGGAAGATCTGAAGGGGATGTGTCCTGGAGTCCTGAGCAGGGAGAAGCCTGCGGAAATCAGCACAGGCCAGAGGCACAGCAGGGAACCTCCTCAGGGGAGAGACAACAGGGTGAATCCACTGACCAGGGGGTTGGTTTGAAGGACCTTCCTGAAGACATGATCCAGCCAGGAATCTGCACTAAAGGGAAACTGTATGAATGTGCTGAGTGCGGAAAAATCTTCAGTAATGACTCATCCCTGATTGTTCATCGGAGAGTTCACACAGGAGAGAGACCCTATAACTGTTCGGAGTGTGGGAAATCCTTCACTCGGAGCTCCACCCTTGTTGTGCATCAGAGAGTGCACACAGAAGAGAAACCCTATAAATGCCCCGACTGCGGGAAAAGCTTCAAGCGGAGCTCAACCCTTATTTCACACCAGAAAATCCACACAGGAGAGAGACCTTATAACTGCCTTGAATGTGGGAAAGGCTTCAGTGAACGCTCAAACCTAAACAAACATCAGAGAATCCACACAGGAGAGAAACCCTATAACTGCCTTGAGTGCGGGAAAAGTTTCACTTGGAGTTCACACCTCATTAAACATCAGAGAATGCACACTGGAAAGATGCCCTATAATTGCCCTGACTGTGGGAAAGGCTTCAGTGACAGCTCAGCTGTTATTAGACATCAGAGGATCCATACTGGAGAGAGACCCTATAAATGCCTCGAATGTGGGAAAAGCTTCAAGCAGAGCTCAAACCTCATGAATCATCAGATAATCCACACAGGAGAAAAACCCTATTACTGCCCTGAATGTGGGAAGGGGTTCAGTCGGAAGGCTCACGTCATTTCGCACCGGAAAATACACAGGGTAGAGAGATCCTTTAACTGCCTTGAGTGTGGGGAAAACTTCTCTAGCAGCTCTGACCTCATTAAACATCAGAAAACCCACACTGGAAAGATATCATATAAATGTTCTGTCTGTCAAAAAAGCTTCAAGCAGAGGTCAGAACTTATTTCACATCAGAGAGCTCACAGAAAGAGAAACTATAAATGTTCTGTCTGTGGGAAAAGCTACAAGGGGAAGGTCTCTCTAATGTCCCATCAGAAACTCCACACAGGCTAGCAGGTGGCAGGAACTCTCAGTATGGGGCAATGGGTCTGTGCCCTCGTGAAGCGAAGAGTGAATGTCCTTCATTGGTGGAGGGTCCGTGTAGGGGCAGCAAGTGGATGAAGGGTTCTGGTTTCAATGGGGGATAGTTGGCAGTGGCAGAGGAGGAGGAAGCACTAGGGAGCTGTGTGATTTCAGGGTCTGAGGGGAGCAGGTGATGGGATTAGTGGAGGACATTTCTGTAGGTTCTACATGCCCTTTCCAGTTTAGAAGAGAGGTAAAAATGCCCCATTGCAGTTTGTCTGAGTTGTCTCTGCAGCTCCTAGGGCATCTCGGGATAGGGACAGGGGAATGTTATTCAGGGAAGTAGCAAGGGGCCCTCTGGGGCTATAGTTACAAGGCAGTAACAGCTGCCGATCTGAACTAACAGGATGTCGGAGCACTGCTCAGTGTATTGGACATCTATGCAGTCATGAGTGATGGGGGCAGCTGGAGATTGGGGAATTCACCATGGAAATTCCCCAGAGAGGTGGGAACTCTGGGGGATGCCCTTTTAGGAGTGTGGTCTAGTGGTTAGAGGGGACAGTGGGGGAAATGAGTTAGGACTCCTGGGTGTGAGCTAGTGCCAGTGACTTCCTGTCCTCTCTCTGTGTCCATTTCTCCCATCTCTACAGTGGAGATAATAGTGTGCAACTCCTTGGAGCGTTGTGAGGGTTCGGTAATTACTGTGTGTTCTGTAGCTCAGGAGAATGCAAGTATTTGGGAGGGAAAACATCGTTATTTTTATTATTGTTATTAATGTGTTTTCATAGAATCACAGAAATGCAGGGTTGGATCATTGATGCTGGAACTAGGGGTGCTGCCAAACTCCCTGGCTTGAAGCGGTTTCTATTGTATACAAGGTTTATAGTTTAGTTCAATGGCTTGCAGTGGTGGTGAAGCACTGGAATGCGTTACCTAGGGAGGTGGTGGAGTCTCCTTCCTTGGAGGTTTTTAAGGCCCGGCTTGACAAAGCCCTGGCTGGGATGATTTAGTTGGGAATTGGTCCTGCTTTGAGCAGTGGGTTGGACTAGATGACCTCCTGAGGTCCCTTCCAACCCTGATATTCTATGATTCTATGACCCCCTCTATACAAATTGTTCCAGCACCCCTGGGTTGGAAGGAACCTCGAGAGGTCATCAAGTCCAGTTCCCTGCACTGAGGCAGGACCAAGTAAACCTAGACCACCCTTGTCAGGTGTTTGTCTAACCTGTTCTTAAAAACCTCCAATGACAGGGATTCCACTGCCTCCCCTGGAAGTCTATTCCAGAGCTTAGCTACCCTAATAGTTAGAAAGCAAATGATTTTTTCCTTCCGAAGCATACCATTTTGCACTTGTCTTTACTGACTTGATTTCAGACCAATTCTCCAATTTGTCAAGGTCATTTTGAATTCTAATCCTGTCCTCGAAAGTGCTAGAAATCCCTCCCATCTTGGTGTCATCAGCAAATGTTATACGCATATTCTCCACTCTATTATCCTAGTATCAGAGGGGTAGCCATGTTAGTCTGGATCTGTAAAAAGCGACAAAGAGACGAAGTGGGTATTCACCCACGAAAGTGTATGCTCCAATACGTCTGTTAGTCTATAAGGTGCCACAGGACTCTGTCTATTATCCTAGTGATTAATGACAATATTGAATAGTACCAGATTCATGACTGACCCCTGAGGAGTCCCATTATCTATGTCCCCGTAGTTTAACGAGTCATTGATAACTACTGTTTGAGTACGGCCTTTCAAACAGTTTTGCACCCACCTTATAGTAATTTCATCTAGACCACATTTCCCTAGATTGTTTCTGAGATTGTCATAGGGGACTGTGCCAAAAGCCTTACTAAAATCAAGATATATCTGCTGCTTTCCCCATGGCCACTACACCAGTAACCCTGTCAAAGAAGGAAATTAGATTGGTTTGGCGTGCTTTGTTCTCGAAAAATCCATGTTGGCTATTTCTTATAAGCCTGTTCTCCTGTAGGTACTTACAAACTGATTGTTTAATAATTTGTTCCAGTATCTTTCCAGGTGTTGAAGTTAGGGTGACCAGTCTATAGTTCTCCAGGTCCTCTTTGTTTCCCTTTTTAAAGACAGCTACAATGTTTCCCTACTCCAGTGCTCTGGGACCTCACCCATCCTCTGAGTTCTCATAGATAATCGCTAATGATTCAGAGACTGGTTCAGCTAGTTACTTAAGTACCTTAGTCTAGAGTCAATTTCTATCAGGCCATGCTGATTTCAATACATTTTACCTCTCTATCTGTTCTTTTCCTGTTTCGGCTTGAATTCCTTCCCCCTTGCTGTTCATATTAATTACGTTAAGTATCTAGTCAGACTAGTGAATACTGATACAAAGTAGGCATTAAACACCTCAGCCTTTTTGTCATCCATTATTATAACTATTTGATGCTCTCCTGTCCCTTCCCAGCTCTCTCTGTTAGGGGGAGCGTGTTACTGAATGGAAAGGCAGGTCTGTAGCTGGAATCCCTTATCCCTATTTTCAGGAAGGGGCTCAGCTGAGATTGTGACCCACTGGGATTATTCCTGAAATAATTGTCCTGGGAGGGATTTTCTCCTTGTTTCTGGACCATGGGGAGGGGCAGGGTCTTGTGTTTCTGGAAATTCAGCTTTTGGGTGAGTCTTTTATAGTTCATTGAAATTTTTACCTGAATGTTTCTTTTTATACAATAAATTCCTAATATTTTTGTTTGTGTGTTTGGTGTGAAGTCTGTGTCTTCAGAGCTCTACCAGGGCATGATGATGGTTGGAGTCCCAAGAAGGAACTGAAAGGTCAGAGAGGGTGGGTCAGAGCCATCTGTCCCCCAGCCCCTGCTGAAGGTGCCCTGTCAATCTGGGTGCCCTGTGCAAGGCGTCTGGTGAGCAAGTGTTCGCTTCCCTTCTCCTAGCAGTCTGGGTGGGAAGCAGGAGCCTGGGGAGATGCTCTGGGGATCAGAGAGCCATTGCTTTAGCTGAGCTGAGACATAGCCCTGGCGGGCAGCAGGGGATGCTGCTCTGTGGGACATGTTTCCAGAGTTGGAAAAAGATTCTGGCTGGATCCCTCCTGGGCCACGTTTTCATCACCAGAGCAGAGCGCAGGTGGGGAGCGGGATTGATTAGCTCCTGCCACCAGAGGGCTGTGGGTGTTGCGGAGGCTGGGGACAGGCAGGCTGTGCTGGCCCTTTAACTCGCTCCATGAATCCAGGAGATATTTGCAATTTGAGCTTTTGGGGTCAGGCAGCTCAGAGGCTGGCGCTGCTGCTGCCTCCATAGTTCCATGTGATTTGGGAGCCCAGGCTGAGTTGCTGCTGCTCCCCAGTGGGGTCTGTGTGGGGAGAGACCTACATTAACCCTGCTCTGTGCCCAGCCGGATGCGATGGCTGGAACCAGCCCCTGGGGGAAGCCCCGGGCTCTGCCGACACCAGCTCCTGAGCCGGAGCCTGAGGTGAGGGGAGAGACCCGGGGAAAGAGTTGGGGCTGGGCAGGAAATGACTGAACCAATGTCCCCTCCTCGGCCCAGCTCTGCCCCCCTGAGCGCCTGCAGGAGCCGAGCCAGCGAACGCCCTGGGGCCAGGCCAGGGACCGAGTCTCCCAGTCCGAGGGGAGGGGAGAGGAGGGAGACGGGGGAGAGACTGGCAGGGGCAGCAGGAGCAATTAGTGGGGAGGGAGGTTCCCAGCCCTGCCCAGATCCATTCCTTGCAGCACCCCGGGGCAGATTGACTTTCCTGGGGAGGAGCAGGGAGAGGAAAAGCCAGTTCCTGCCTTTGCCTGGTCCCCGTGCTCCTGGGGGGATGCGCTGCCCTGGGGACAGTGTCAGGAGGGATCCCCCAGAGCGGCTCCTTGGATCCTGCTCTTTTCTAGCATTTGGTAACTTCAGGGACTGTTCCTGCCAGGGTTTAAAAATGGCTTTTGGGGTTTAGTCCTGGTGGGAGTGGGTAGATTGGGGCTGCAATAAAGTGACCAAGAGTTCTTCCAGAGTCTAGAGAATCTGCAGAGAAAGCAGCTGGAGGGAATCAAGGTGCAAAATGGATTAAAGCCCCTCCTGAAACTCCCCCCATCGCCCTTCTTGCCCTGACAGGCTGCAGAATAAGATTTGCACCCCCCCCCCCATTCCTTGGGGTTAGAAAAGAACAATAGCAGCAGTGCAGACAGCTCAGGAAAGCAATTGTCAGGTTGTTGCTGGGGGACGGTCTGGATGTGGAGGGGGAAATAAATACAGAAGGAGAGAAAAACAGGAAATGAAAAATATTCTGTTGTTTTTTTGCTCTTTACACAACAAACTCAGTATGGAGAAGCCACGGGGCACAGCTGGCTCCCAAATAACTGTGTTTACTAATTACAGTAGAAACTCAGTCAGGAATGGAGGTTGTTTGTAACTCTGAACAAAACGTTATGGTTCTTTCAAAAGTTTATAACTGAACATTGACTTAAAACAGCTTTAAAACTTGATTATGCAGAAGAAAAATGCTGCTTTTCCTTTATTTACCTTTATACTGTACTGTATTAGCTTTTCTTTCTTTCTTTTTTTGTCTCTACTGGTGCCTGATTACGTACTTCTGGTTCCAAAGGAGGTGTGTGGTTGACTGGTCAGTTCATAATTCTGGTGTTTGTAACTCTGAGGTTCTACTGTATACACAGATATGCAAAGCTGAGCCACATACATACAC